CTTGATATGCTCCATTGAATGACTAGTTATCATATTGTTCCTCAAAGACAAAATGACTGCAACCTTATAATTTTACCATGAACCAAATTTATGTAATTTAAATAATACTTATCCATGCCTGTACAATTGGTGTGTCCTACACAGGTAGGAAAAAATGTATTTTATTAAATTACTATTATTAAATATGCTTACTAATCGTATATGTAATTTATCATATTGATGATGCCTGTAAACTGGCGTCCCTCATGTAAAAAATGAGAATATACTATTATTATTATTATATAAAAATTAGCACATGCAAGCATGATTCAGGAATGAAAGGAAATCAAAACTTGTTATAATTTTAAATAAAAATTTATGCACCTAATAAACAGTGACGTGGTCTTTAGCATTCGAGAGATTCATATCTAAGGTGATTTACATATCCTTGGTGAATACATATGCTTGTAGTACAGTTAACAAACAACAAACAATTAGTGATAATAAAACTAATAAATGTTTATGGTTATAGTAAAATGAATGTCAGCAACAATAATACTGAGACGAGTGTCTAAATAAGGTTAACGTACTTATTATGCCAGTCAGTGAAACGAACATAGCGGGCAGGTTTATAGATCTGCCGACCACTTCGTGTCTGAACAGGGGGAAGTGTGAAGAGTGAAAGTGTAGGAATTGCATTGACTTTATCATTATTCATCGGTGCAGGCGTTGCTATTGCTTCATATTCACTATCGGTGCACGCTGGTTTCAGACGGTCAATAGAAACAGTTTCCTGCTTACCATTTCTGTTCAGTGTGAAGTATTTACCAGTGCGTTTGAGTACTGGAAAGGACCTTCTTATGGATCTTGTCAGCCTTTTATAATGGCATCGACACGAATAAATACAAATTTGCAAGTAAGTAAATTCTTGTTAACTTGGGCTTTTTGAAATGATTGGCGAGGGGCTACTGGTCGAAGTTGAAGCATTTGCTGAGTAAGACGGTTGATAAAATCTGAGATATTTACATCAATTGAGTCATAAGAAGGAACTAACTGACCAGGCAGTGTGAGGGTAGCAACATACACGAGTTGAGCAGGTGTACATCCCAAGTCTTCTTTGATAGTTGACCGGATACTGAGGAGAACTAATGGTAGGTGTTCACTCCACTTAGATGAGTCAGCTTGTGCCATCAAAGAGCTTTCCAGTTGTCGATGAAAACGTTCCACCAGACCATTCGCTGCAGGATGATAAGCTGTAGTGGAGTCTCATAAGCTCTCGAAACAGAGTTCATTGAAATTGAGCTCCTCGGTCTGTTGTAATCGTTGTTGGTACTCCATAGTTTGACAGCCCCCGATCTAGGAAAAACAAAGCGGTATTTTCTGCAGATATGTCGTTGAGTGGACAAGCAATAGCCCATCGAGTAAATCGATGAGTAGCTATGAGGATATGTGTGAAACCTCTGGATGGTGATAAGGGTTCAACAATATCTATATGCACATGTTGAAATCGTTTATCTGATAAGTTGAACTGCTTTGGAGTTGTGACCGTGTGATGGTGTACCTTGGACTTTTGACATTGCAAGCATTTGCGTGCCAATCTCCGAATATCGGAGTTCACTTGAGGCCAAACGAAACGCTCACTGATTAACTGAACCGTAGCGCGTACTCCAGAATGAGACAGAGAATGTAGATGTTCAAATAAAGGTTTTCGACAACGTTGTGGAACAAACGGTCGATGAACGCCAGTAGAAACGTCGCAGATGATAGTTGTATCAGACAGAGGAATAGGTATATCCTGCAACTGTATGGAGGACTTTTGTCTACAATTATGAAGTTCGGCGTCATTTTTCTGCAGCTTGGCGATATTGTCTAAGCTAATGTCTATCGAAGATAGAAGCTGATTAACATCACATCGAGACAAAGAATCGGCTACAATATTGGAATCTCCTTTGATGAACTGGATGTCTGTCGAGAATTGTCTGGCTTCTCTCGGGGAGTGTTTGTCCAACGAAGTTGTAAAAGCATAACAAAGAGGCTTATGGTCGGTTAAGATATTAAAATGTTGACTTTTTAATAAGAAGCTGAAATGTTTCACTGCTAGATAGATAGCTAACAGTTATCTGCCAAAGGTACTGTAACGAGTTTGTGCAGGTTCTAACTTCTTGGAGAAGAAGCAAGTGGAGTGATGCCATTGCTAAACTTTTGTTGTAAAACTGCTCAAACTGCTACCTGCGATGCATCTGTACATAGAGTGAGTGAGGCTTCTGGATTGATGTGAGACAACATTACGACGTTGGATAAAGCATCTTTTGCATTACTAAATGCTGCTTTTGCTTCTTCAGATCACTGAAATTTCTTCGGGTTGCGTCTAAGTAGGTTGGTCAGTGGCTGAACTACGGAGGCACGTCGATAGAAATTGAACATCCCGAGAAAACGTCTAGGTTTCTTTAAGGAATCTGGTTCTGGAAAGTTCTTGATAGTTTCTATCTTACCTTCGGTAGGCCTAATGCCTTCAGTCGTTATTCGATGTCCTAAAAATTCAGTTGAAGAGGAACCAAAAATACATTTCTTGGGATTGATAACTACTCCGAATTGTTCAAACCTTTGAAATAACACGCTTAAGTGTTCTATATGTTCTTCCATCGATGAGCTGGCTATTAAGATATCGTCGATGTATACAGAGACAAAATCAAGACCTTGGGTAACTTGGTCCATAAACCTCTGAAATGTTTGAGTAGCATTCTTTAGTGCAAAAGGCATCCTCAAAAATTCGAATAACCCAAAAGGCGTGATGATTACTGTTTTTGCAATGTCTTCCGGAGCGACTGGTATTTGATGATATGCCCTGACCAAGTCAACTTTAGTGAAAATGGTCTTTCCATGTAAGGTCAAGGAGAAGTCTTGGAGATGGGGTATAGGATAACGTTCTGGGACCGTAGCATTATTCAAAGCGCGATAATCTCCACATGGTCACCAGTCGTGACCAGCTTTGGGTATCATATGTAAAGGTGAAGACCATGGACTGTTAGATGGTCGAATGATACCTAGCTGCATCATATGTTCGAATTCTGACTTAGCTGCTGCTAGATGATCAGGTGGTAACCGTCATGGACGTGCCTTCACAGGTTGGCCTGTTGTGATGATCTTGTGAGTAACTATCCTCAACGTTGCAAGACGCCTTAAGGATTTTAGGAAAACGTTGTAATAAAGTAGAAAACATTCCACTCTCCCGGCTTTTCTATGCAGATACTATGAGCAGAATAATCACATGTAATACCGTGTATTTGAGTTGGGTGTTGTCAGTCAGTTTTTTCTTGTCGATGTCAACTAACAGATGGAAATGATTTAAGAAGTCTGCACCTAGTATAGCGTGACGTACGTCAGCTACTATGAAGATCCATGTAAAATGTCGGCGTAGTCCCAAGTTTAAGATCATTGACTGTTCGCCATACGTCTGTATGTTGGTTTGGTTGGTAGCACGGAGTGAAAGCTTCCCCGGTATTTGGCTGGTCGCCTGTATAGTGAGGAGGGGATAACACTGACTTCGGCGCCTGTACCTACCAGGAATAACGTGCCGGTAGTCAAATCCTTCACATAGAAAAGGCGACTGGGATGATTGCCAGTAACAGCCGTCGCCGCTACTGTCTGGCTGGGGAGTTTCCCTGAGCTGAGTTACCATTGTTGTACATGCACGGTCTAACACACTTCAGGGCATTATGCCCATACCTCCCATGATACCAGCAAATGTTACGGCTTTGAGACGGTGTTCTATAACGTCGTCTAGATCTTGATCGCCGTTGTTTGATTACCGTATGTGACTGGTTTCGCTGTGCTCGTAGCTCAGACACTTCCAGTCTTAAGTCTTGCATTGATAACTGAGAAAAGAACCAAAACATTGGAGTCCTTCATAGATGTGGAAGGAACTGGTGGTACTGCCTGTGTAGACACACTATTTATGCCGATATCTGGTAATACATCCATCTGCTATCTTTGCTAGTTCTTCAAGGTCAGTAGTCCTAGAAGATATCGTTAGGATTTGTTGAACATTTTGTGGTAAACGTTGCAGAAACATTTGACGCAGGATTACCACATTTACTTTGCATGATCCGATCAACTGACGCATGCGTCTAAGTATTTGAGATGGCTTTTTTGTACCTGACTCACACGCAGTAAGTAGTTGTTGTATACGTTTCTCATCGGAGACAGTGGTTCGCTGGATAAGTGCAGCTTTTAGTTTGCCATATTGGTAATCTATAGGTTCACTGTCTATGACGTTGATAACTTCTCGAAGTACTTCAGTAGGTATTGTTGCTAGTACACAACCATATTTGGCAATCTGCGATGTAATACCCCGAGCTACAAATAACTGTTCGATGACTGTGAACCAGACACGTGGTTTGGCCAGATCAAATTGAGGTAATATTAAATCAGGCCAGGCGTTAACAGAAGAGTTCTGTATCTCTTCGCCTTTCCTATGTTCTGCCGGGATAGTTGTACGCCTAGGTGGAGCCATTGTCAAAAATATTTAAGTTTAGAGATATACACAAATAGTAAAAAGTACGATAAAAAATGACAGTAATGCGAATACAAAGGGCCGAAATAGCACAAAAAATGTTCAAAACAAGTAAAAAGTTCAAAACGGGCCGAAATACAGAAAAAAAGTTTGAAAAGGGCTTACCAATTATTGTGGTGGACCTTAGATTTAGGTAGCCTAATATCCCGAATTCGAATAGAAATAGAAAACACAAAATCCGTAAAGTTACTGAAAGAATATATTAAAATTTGTTACTTGGGTTATTACAGGTCCAAAATCCACAATTAACTTAACAGACTCCAGAAGTATTGTAAGATGACTGCTCCAATTTTAATTCTCCAATGTCGGTATTGCCAGAGGTCGACCAAGGCAACGCAGGGAGGAATTACGGTGTTCCTGCGAAATTTTGAAAGAGAAAGTAGGTAATCAGAATTGGCCGATGGCAGTTGAGATGGTGCAGAAGACGGAGAGATGTAGGCAGAACTATATTTTCCATTCAAAACACGAGTTTAAGTACAAAGTACAGAGATTCTGGTTAAAACAAAGTAATGTACGATATGTTCATTTCTCACATAGTAGTAAAAGTTGGATGAGTTTATTTTTGAGGACTCCACAGTTCTGAGGGACTGTGAGAAGGTGTGACATAGATATTTGTGATGAAAATGAAGCTATCCTTAGATAAGTGTTTAGGTCGGCATTTGACAGCTATACAATCAATACTGACATTTGAGAATTTGAAGCAGACGTTGTTGGCAGTAGACCATTGAGAATTAATAAAAGTGGCAACACCTCCACCTCTCTTCTTCTTTGAGCTGCATCGATCTTGGCTGTATATTGTGAAATCACGTAAAGAGACTAAATTATCGTCATATGAATCGTGCAGCCAAGTTTCTTGAAGAGTATTTACAGCAGTATTACAAGATACATTTGAGTATGATACAGAATGCAAGTAATTAATCTTGTTCAGTAGAGATCTGTAATTTGTGCTCATAATCACAGGAACAGTCATCAAATGCATTGGAGTACGCTTTAAAGCTCGTTGCCATCCACCGTGAAGCTTTTTCTTAAGTTTGTTAGAAACTAGTATATCAGCCGGTTGAGAACGTTTTAAATAATCGCGAGAGTAAACAATATGACCAGGACTCACAATTGAATGATTCAAACAAAATAAATCCGAGGAAGTAGATGCGATATGTAGGATGGAAATTTTGGTAGCCCAAGATTTAAGCAGGCCGTCAGGTATATGATCAGATCAGATCAGCGATATCAGATCGCAGGTCTGTGAACTGACACCTCTAACTATCCTCATGAAAACTGTAGACCTTAACAAACTTGACACAGAATCGGTAACTAAGATAGATAACCTCATCAACTTTGTTACTACAGAAGTAACAAAACGACTTGACGCTAAACTGACTGCTATTGTCTACAACGTTCCGGACAATGAGGCACTAATAAAGGTACAGAGATTCTTACTTAGTGAGGCGAAAATGCCCAACTCCCAGACTAAGTGAGATAGGCTGAAGAAGAGTCAACATGAAAAGTGTTGTCCTATTCGTTTTCAGTTCGAAACACCGGCAGAGACCAAAAAATTCATCCACTCCCAACACACCTTATTGCAAGTCGGAAACTACAAACTAATAAAGGTTGCGATGGACAACACAGTCATAGAAATGTAGATTACGAAAAGCAATGGACCTAGTACACTACCCTGAATTACTCCACTTCGTATGGGTCTGGGTGACGAGTAATTATTTGCAAATTTCACAACTTGGGAACGATCTTCCAAGAAAGAAACGAGCCAGGATAACAAGGGGTCCTGGAACCCGTACGACTTTAGCTTAAGGATTAGTCTCTTGTGTGGGACTTTATCAAAGGCTTTTTTGAAGTCAAAGAAGAGGGTTGTGACAAGCAAACCATGATCTCGCTTAGCGGTAACATCATCAAAGTAATCAAGTAGGCAGGTGGAGCATGATCGACTTTTCAAGAAGCCGTGTTGTGCTGGAGTAAACAATTTGTGAAGGTGGAGGTATGAAGCAATATCTTGCCCTATAACTTTTTCCATAACCCTAGAAACTACTTACGTGATATTGATCGGTCGGTAGTTTTCGATATTAGAAGTTGGTCCTAGTTTGTGCCTAGGGGTTATAAACGACAGCTTCCAGCATTCTGGGTAACTGCCATTATTTAAGGACAGATTGAAAAACTTTAGGAGGATAATGGGTATGTCCTCACCACCTCTTTTCAACAAGATAGATGGAATTCCATCAGGTCCAGCTTTATATGATGTCCGGAGGGATGCTATAGCGGAGGAAATCTTTTGTTGGGTAAATGTTATATTACCCAAAAAGTGATATGGTATTATCGGAACATCAAGACTACCTACTGTTTCTTCGTTATATTACTCCGTTTTGTGTGCACACTACTGTGAGTACTACTCGGGGAGGTTATACTGAATGCTACATTCTCAAGCTTAGCCTTTTGCGTAGTGGTATTAGCAGCTGATGGTGATGTGTCTAGCGAGCATAACTCTAAAGATGCATCTAAGTCTATGGCCATATTTGCTTCACTGTTGAGTTTACTAGGTAAAGCTTTATTATTTAAGGGTATTTCTTTTTCACGCGTGTCTGTAACATTAGGTATACTTAAATCTAAGGCGAGAGAGTCTTTTGTAGGACATTCTGCAGTTACGTATGTGTTTGCGACCTTTGATACACTTGCGCGGCTACGTCTTTGACATGGAGTTAGGTCATGAGTAAGTTTAACGTTGCCAAAAGGTGTAGAAGAACTAATTAGCTTGTTAGACGACTGGAATTTCCTAGCATCACTAGGACTACTGAATTTAAACAGCACAGGACAAGTATACTTTCCTGATTTTTTCCTGAGTCTGATTAGGTGGCATTCCGCTGATGGCATACCGCACGCTTGGAGACATGTCACTTTAATTTTGTCCAGAGGCGTCCGATCAGGCAGATTGTAAGCAATTGCGTAGCGGTACGTCCAACGTTTGCGTTACATTTTTGCGTGATTCGTTACATAAAATTTATCTTGTTGTAATCCTTGCACAAGTCCTCTACTACTTCCATACCTATAACTATTAACTCTCATATCAAATAGTTATGGTTAACCAAAGTAAAAAGCAGCGAACTCAATCCCCTGTAAATCTGATGACTAATTTTAAGTCGTTGATTGCTACATCAAGCAACATACTTCCTACAAATGGTTATAGTGAGCCACAAAACTCACTTGTATGTCGTAAGCGTCGAGCTGAATCTGAGGATAAAACTATACTGACAGCTAGTATTAGCACTACCCCCAAAAATTCAGTACCCTCTGCTCATACAGAAACCCTCCCTACACCTTATGTGCTTATCGAAAAGCTCCAGCCTTCAAGCTCTGTTACAGTACTATCTTCAGAAATAGAACTTCTAAAGTTGTCTATAGGAGAACTTAAGGCCGAGTTAAGGGACTTAAAAAACAATAAGT